GCCTTCAGCATATCCATATATACTCTTCACAGAGATCACCATGTAAAAATACATTGTAAACATCCATTTGATATAAATTCCAACCCTTGGAAACATCCAAGGCTATACTGATCTGACTGTAACCATTTTCACTACTGGTGAAAATGTATCATGGTAATCAAGTCCTTCTTGTTGACTGTATCCCTTTGCAACAAATCTAGTCTTGAACCTTTCAACTTCACTATTATCTTTATACTTATTTTTATACACCCACTCGTACCCTACAACATGTTTGCCATGTGGTAAGTCAACTACTTCCCATGTTCTGTTGTCTTCTAGTGCTTTGACATCTTGTTTCATAGCTTCTACCATCTTGTATCCTTCACAGCCTGCCTGAAGTTATGAGGTTCTACCAGATTAGAAAAGTTTGCCAAGTAGGAGTGATATATAGGGGTAGTTCTTTCATAAGACAAACAATTGGCTATAGGATATTTACTAGTTGACTTCCTAGGTGCTATGTAGTCCTCCATCCAGATGGGCTCTCTAGACTCTCTAGTTGACTTTCTAATAGGAAGTTGAGGTCCTTCTGCTTGCATGCTCTCAGATGGTGAATCAGTTATGGGAGTCGTGGGATTTGTTGTTTGTGCAGCTTGTTGAGGCATCGCACTCTCTTCTTCTGTGGCTATTTCCTGTGCACCTGCATTTTGATCTTGTTCCTCATTGGTGTGACTAACCTCTGAGGTAGGAACATCATAGTTAGGTTGTTCCACGAAACTATGACCCTCTGAATCTGGTTCAACAACATCTTGAGCAAAAGGGAACTCTGACTCCTTCAAGACCACATCTCTACTGACAAAGAATTGTCTTGTAGCTAGTTCCGTCAGAATATATCCTTTTTGTCTCTCAGAATATCCCATGAGCACAACTGCTTTTGCTCTTTCCGTAAATTTATCCCCTTTTGGAGTGTCTGTTGCATAGCATAAACATCCTATGACTCTTAGATGTGTTAGTGATGGTGGTTTGTCATACATTACTTCATATGGACTCTTTCCTTGAAGTGTTGTTGAAGGAAGCCTGTTTATTAAGTACACAGCAGCTGTAACATACATGCCCTAGTACCTAATCGGCAACTTTGACTGGAACCTTATGGCCCTTGCCACATCCAGAATATGTCTGTGTTTTATCTCCACAACACCATTTTGTTGTGGAGTATGAACACAGCTACTCTGATACAGAATTCCCAAACTCTGCAGCAGATCCTTGCACTGAGAATTAAAAAACTCTGTGTCATTGTTTGATCTAAGGATTTTAACCATCTTCCCTAATTGGTTCTTTACCATCAGCAATTTTTTTTTAATGGCAACTATAGTTTCAGACTTAAGTTGTAGCAGATAGATCCAGACATATCTACTAAAATCATCAACAACAGTTAGAAAATAGTATTTCTTGTCAAAAGTAGAAATCTTATAAGGTCCCCAAAGATCCATATGAACAGACAGAAAGGAGCTTCAGATCTGGATGTACTATTAGGAAACATCAGTCTAGTTTGTTTGGCTAACGGACAGACTGGACAATTATTCAATGACTCACTATTTACATTCTTGCTTAGCAAAGTGATATTCTTCATAGTTGGAAGAGATGGATGTCCAAGTCTTTGACGCCACAACCTGCAATCTTCCCTTACGACTGCAGCAGAAACTATGCCCTACTATGCTTTGTTGATACCATTGACTCCTTTGAATATGTACAAGCCTCCCGTCTTCTTACAGTCCCTTTCACCCTGCCACTGTAAAGGTCCTGAAACAACACAAAGTTAGGATAAAAGTTCACTGAGCAGCAGAGTTCCTTGGTTAGTTTGGAGAATGAGAGGAGGTTAAACTTGAGTCCTGGAACATAAAGGACATCATGTATTGCTTCATTGCCAAATATAGCAGCCCAACCAATAAGTGCAATAGGAATCCTATCTCCATTAGGTAAGCGAACCACATTACTTGAAGTCTTAATAGTCTTATTGTCATTCATCAATATATCATTAGAAGTTATTATCTGATGACTGTCACCAGAATCTACAATCCACTTATCTAAATAATCCTTAGATAAGGAGTTACTTGTTATACCTGCCATGTTCACTTGGCAATCAGAAGTTGGATCCTTGTTGAAGAGCTCAAGGATCTGTTTGTATTGTTCCTCTGTGAAATATGGTGCCTTCCCAGTTATTCCTCCTGGTACATCACCAGTTGATGAGGATCCTTGAGAATGAGCATCAATGTTCCCAAGCACATTGTTGGCTGCAGTGAAGTGTTGGTGTGATCCACGCCCAAAGCCAAACTGACCCCTATTGCCATGACCATATTGACCTCCAATGTTGTTACAAGACTTCCTCCTTGCCTTGAAATCTTTAGGATACCAAAAAATCTTATAGCAGTTCTCCTTAGTGTGACCTTTTAGACCACAGTGTTCACATTGCATAAAGGGCTTCTTGCCTTGGTACCCTTGACCTTTGCCTACCTGCATGGCCACTGGATCATTTTTTTCATTTACTGAACCTAGCCTAGGGGATTGTTGAGATTCATCTTCTATCACCATGGCATAAGCCTGGTTCAGGGAGGGCTCATTAGTCTTCAAGATGATTTGTCGTCTAGCTTGATCATATGAATCATTTAAACCGCTGAGAAATTGCAGAAGCCTTTACTGTTGAAGATGCTCCTTGTATTCTCTCGAGTTTGAGGTTGGTACCAATGCATCATATTCATTCCATAGACTTTTCAGCTTAGTAAAGTAACTTGAGATTGAATCAGTTCCTTGTGACAAATTGGCAATAGCTCTGTGCAATTGAAAAATACGCATTCGATTCACCTTATCAAACCTTTCCCTCAGATATTCCCAAACGAGATGGGCATTCGAAGCATATGCGATTTCACTTAAAAGTTCAGTGGAAACTGTATTCATGAGCCATGATAAGACAATGGCATTACAAGTTTCCCACTGTTCATTCAATTCGGCTCTGAATGACTCCTTTGTACTGGTGCCGGTCACAAACCCTAACTTCCTCTTTGCTAAAAGGGCAATTTTCGTCGTTTTGCTCCATAAACCGTAATTTTCTGATCCTGTAAGCTTCATAGGAATTAAAACAACACCAGGAGTACCCGATGGCCCAAGGTAAAAAGAATGAGTATACGGAATTGCAGTTTCCGCCATTGATGAGCAGAAAAACAAAAATCGAGCTAATTGAGAAGAAGAAACAGATCACCTAGATAGAGATAGCCAGCCTCAGAGATTGGCGAGCATCAGTGGCTCTGATACCATGCTGAAATCTACGCGATCTGCCATTGAAGAATGAGCAGTGAAATCGAAGCTCCTTCTATGAATTACAGAGCATGTGAATAGAAAGGCCAGAGAGAAGATTATCCGAAAATGATAACTGCTTCTATTCTCATTTACAGTACAAAATATATAAACAAGCTAACTCCACTAATGCTTAACTAACAAACTAACAGTCTAGATCTGTTAATTTACAACTGTGAACTTACTGTAGCTTCCTAACTAACATAACTAACTAATAGTGCTAACAGTGCTAACTTCATAATACCTTTTAAAAGGACACTTAAATGAAGGCGTCCGAGAGAAAAACGCCAGCCAAAACAAGAGAAAATGTTTAGTTCCTGCATTAACTGTTTGAAAGAACTATGCATATGAGAGTCACACCAGAAATGAGCACCTTAATCTAAGAAATCCGTGCGACATAAATATTGCAACCAAAAACGTATAACCTAATTACCTAACCAGTAACACTTCATGAGAAGTCACAGTCGGAAAAAATGGAGGGGTACTTGTGAGTTGTGACCACTGTTCTTTAACTCTTTCTTTTTAACATAAAAACATATATTATCCAAGGATTTCTTAATCGAAGGTTATGCTAAAATTTCATCTTTAAGGAGATTGATTACTTACATATGAATAGAAGTACATAATGTACATGTGAAAATTTGTGAATTCTGAAGAAACGGAGTGCCATTTTTAAACGCAAATTTTATCGCGATTTGTACAGCTGAAGAAGCCAGCAATATGAAGTACTAAAAGATATTAATAACGTGGGAAAACTAAAATGTTGCGGAGCACGAATTTAGGAGAAAATAGAGTTGAAGATGTTAGCAATAGAAAGTGAATAGAGAGACTAAACATATATTGCTATAGTGTTATTACAGTGTTAAAATGTCTTAAAATATATTCAATTACTATGACATATTTCACTTATTGAAAGTCAATTTGACATATATTTAAAGCTAAATTGGATTATTTAAATTTGATATTTACAATTAAAATTTAGATATTCAAAAATTATATGAAAAGTAGTATAAATTGTATGTTTCCCATGCGAATACGATATAAAAAATATACTAAAAATGTTGGTAAAATTTTACCTAGTTTGAATTTCGAGAAACGAAATGTGTCATACAAAATTGAAATGAAGAGAGTATTATTCTTCAAAAATAGCATGTTCTACAATTATACAAATCCTAGGGTACAAATAAATCAAATAAAGGAGACATATTTTATAGAGCAAATCGGAAAAAGAATAAATGACATAGCGCATAAAAACAATATATGCATAAAGTAAGAAACAAATCATTAAAATAAAAAAAATATGCATTAAGTGAGATTCAAATCATTAAAAAAAGGAGGAGAAAAAAAAATGCATAAAGTAAGAAGCAATCATTGTAAATTGTAAAATAAAGAAAAGAAGATGCAAATAAAAGCAATGTCCTATATTAGGGAAGCAAAATGTAGAAAAGGAAATGTTAGTGTACTTATGGTAACTTTTGTCTCTATAAGTTACCCATTGTTTCAATTTAGATACATACTTTTCTTATTAGTCCGTTTCAAAAAGAATTATATATTTATATAATTTGAATTAATTCAGCTTTAAATTTTTATTTTACCCATTTTATCCTTAACAAGAAGCTTTAATAATAACAAAAATGATCCATATAACTTAAATTTCAAAAGTATCCCTCGTTTCTCTTCAATTCCGTGCCAAATAAAACTAACTCATCCGAGTTAGAAACGAAGGGACTACTTACATTTAGTTGTCCATACTTCACTCAAAAAAGATAGCAGTTTCTCCAACTTTTCAGGCGTTTCAACTTTCAATGGAAGGAGCTCATGAAAAGCTGCTGCACCTCACTTGTCAGTTACTCTCTACTCTTTCTTCTTCTTCTTCTTAGTCCTCTGAATTGTCTGTGTCAAATTAGGTGTGTACGGCTGTATATATTACTTAAACAAAATAGGAATTTCAATGATTTTGGGTAGTAGCTAGCTGGATTTCATGTCTGTATACCCTTTTTGTCTTCTCCCCACCTTCAGCCTTTAATTCACAGAAAAATCCTGTCATCTTAAAAGTCTAGGTTGTAATTCTTTGCACATATAAGTGGGCGTTTGGACATAAGAATTGTTAAATTTCGGAGAAAGTAAAAATAATATTTGAAAATTAGAGTTGTGTTTGGACATGAATATAGTTTTGGGCTATTTTGAATTTTTGTGAGTGATTTAAAATAAATATTTTCTAAAAATAGCATTTGGAATTTTTTTAAATTTTTGAAAATTTACCAAATTCATGTTAAAGTGAAAATCCAAAATTTTATAGCCAAACACTAATTTCAAAATAAAGAGAAATTTCTTTCGAAAAGAAGGTCAAACGAGTTTTTTTTTCATGTTTGTATCGCCATCTCCGGGTGTTACTTAAGAGTAATTAAAGATCAACAAAAGAAAGAAATGAAAAAATAAGTTAGTAATTCTCTACTTTCATTCACTTGGAGTTGAAAAAGTCAGTCCCCAATTTGATCAGTTTAAATTAGGAAAGATGTGTTTTTCTGTATTTTTCCAGTGGTTCGACTAATTCGTATTTGCATCGCGCTAAGATTCACTAAAGAGAAACAATTCCCTAGCCAAGATTCGCTGTTCCATCACATCCTGCTGGGTATTTCTCTTTCTCCAAATATGGCAAAAATGTTCTGTTTTGACTGTTAATATGTTCTGTTACGGGGAATCCAAATCAAGCACTGTACTTTTTTCTCCTTGTATATATTCAATTATTTCTCCATCTCTAGCTTTAATCCAATTTCTGAAGTCTTGCATGAGAACTTTTGAATAGATCGTTTCATCTTTATCGATCGTCTATAAGTTTAATCTATTCATTCAAATTTGCTCTTCATTCTTGGCGATTTTTATTTTCCCAACACTATATATCGAATACAAAATTATTATTTTTAAAAAACTAGAGTTTAATACTCAGAAGTTAACTTATATCCATCGATAGTATGAATAATTTTTACACAATCCGTGTATTTTAACAGATTAATCCATTTTAAAAGTTACTAAATTAGAATTACTATGAACAGGTAAGTTGTTATAGCTGATCTTAACTTGATATATAAACAAAATGTGCACTATCAGTCACAGAAGTTAAATTAAAATGTTAAGTATAGGTCAAATATGAGTTGGTTACTGTTGAGGACTGAAAAAACACAACTGATTTGTGTCGAAGTTGAAAAAACAAGTTGTTTTTAGTCGAAGGAAGTATCTTCTTTTAGTTGAATCTTTGGTCTGTCTATCACTGCCATATTGGGTTGATTCCTTTATGGACTAGAAGACCACTAGTTAATATAGTAAAGTCTTAACCTTGCTGTCATGGAGGTGAAACGATCGATATTCACCAAACACCCTTCTTCCTTGACCTCCACGTTACAGAATCCCTCCCACCAGAAAAAAGGGGCAAGGGGCAGCCCGGTGCACTAAGCTCCCGCTATGTGTGGGGCCCGGGGAAGGGCCGAACCACAAGGGTCTATTGTATGCAGCCTTACCCTGCAATTTTGCAAGAGACTGAACTTGTGACCTCCTGGTCGCATGACAGCAACTTTACTAGAAAAAAAAGGCGGAAAAAACAAAAAAGGGTTGGCCATGATTAAGACATTCAGATAAGGATTAATATCTTATAAACATGTCCTGTAAATTCCATTATATGATTGAATCAAGTTTGGATTTAATGACCTACAATAACATTATGTGGGGATCTTGTAAGAGGTTGATGGCTAGGGAGCACCACTTGAAATACGGGTAGATGCGTGATGCAAATGATTCTGAATCATTTCATGTTAATACTCTCGTTCTCTTAATATTATGACACTGTTTGAATCTTCAAATGTCAAATGGTTAATAGAGGTACAGAGAAGACCTCCAATTAAGTAGAGTAATACCACTAGAGTTCGAACCCCTGATATTTTTACTCAGATTGTGACCATTAGGCTGTCCTTTTCTGGACTTGAAGTTATTCAATATCAAGATTCAAGACTATACAAGAATGGGTAGCCAATTTGTTTGATTGACATCTTTCTGTTTTTCTGCCGGCCTGTTTCATTTGACAGTTGAAGAAGCAGAAGGAACAGATACATCTGAAAATGCAAAAACCAGCAGACTTCAATCAAGTAAATTCATATTGTGGCTGCAAATATTTATCTTCACATTCTTCGCTCTAGCTGGCCAAGCAGTTGGAACTCTCCTGGGCAGAGTATACTATGAGCAGGGTGGCCAAAGCAGATGGATTGCTACATTGGTACAAACTGCTGGCTTCCCTATTCTTCTACCTATCATTTGCTATCCTTCAGCCACAAATCACAATGAACGACAACTTAGCATTCACCAGCCTTCTATATTTGTTCGTGCTTCAGTTTATATATTCCTCGGTTTATTTCAAGTAGCAAACTCTATGTTATATACAGTTGGGGTACAGTACCTTCCAGCCTCTACATATTCTCTAATTTCCGGTTCTCAATTGGCGTTTAACGCACTCACCTCGTTCCTCCTCAACGGGCAAAAAATCACGCCACTTATATTGAACTCTGTCGTGCTTCTCTCCTTTTCATCCTCGGTCATTATGTTCCAAAACGAGTCGAGTGACAGCGGAGAAGTATCTCAGGCATCCCTCTTAATAGGTTTTGCAGCTACCACTATGGGGTCTCTTGGTTACGCGTTGCAGTTCTCTCTAACAGAACTCGCGTTTCAAAAAGTTTTCAAGAGTGGCTCGTTAAAAGTCGTCATGAAAATGTCGTTTTTTATTGGTCTTTTCGTGACACTCACTTCCACAGCAGGGCTTTTTGCCAGTGGCAATTGGAAGGATTTGGGGAAGGAAATGGGAGAGTACAGATCAGGGAAATTGGCATATGTTATGAACTTGGTTTTTACGGCCATTTCGTGGCAGATGTATGCTGTTGGTTCAATTGGATTGGTTTTCAAGGCGTCGTCCTTGTTCTCTAATGTGATCATCAATTTAGGATCTTCAGTTGTGCCAATTTTCGCGATGGTGTTCTTGAAAGATAAGATGAGTGGACTGAAGGTGTTTTCGCTGTTATTAGGATTATGGGGATATGCATCATATATCTATCAACACTATCTTGATGATTTAGAGGCAAAAGCAGGAGCTGAAACTAAAGAATCATCAGTTGAGGATGATGATTTTGAGGCCTCCCTCATTCAAGGAACTTAACCTCTGCGTCTAGTTTATTATTTAGAATGATAGTTTCCTATATATGTTAGTTCAATGTGTGTAATGTTATTAACTACTGCTGGAATTAGTTGTTCGTAGAAATTACTGTATATTGTGTATTCTTACTGATGAATGGAAATATACAGCTCTAAGCTATAATAGAGAAGATTTACTCACTGATAACTGTTCATATATAACTTGTTCACAGACAGTGGTTGCACGTGCATTGCTGTTTATATATGGAATTTGTATCTGGCAATATTAATGATCATATTCATCATACAAAAGCATCAAAAGTCATATGCTTCATCTATTTTTTAATTTGTATATCAGTGTGTGTCCGTCGTCATGTCTATTGAAAGTATCAGACAAACGGATGCTTCATCTTTGTTTTTATACCATGTGAAAACTCAAAACATCAAGAAAATTGCAATTAGTTTTAAGGTTATGTGCTGTTTTACTTGTCTGTTTTGCTGATTTATGTATTGGATATGCCTCTGGCAATATTGATCTTCCTAATTATCGAAACAAAAGCATGATAAGGCGGATTACTAGATAGCTCAACAATTTGAGAAACCTATTCAAGTTCATAAAATATTAGGATCAGTCTCCAACAATTTTTAAATTATCTGAACTACGTTACTTTTAGGAAGCAAAACTCAGATTTAATACTTAGGGGTCGTTTGGTACAAGGATGAGATTTCTCAGGATATCCATTGGTAGGATATTCCATGAGATTAGCTATCCCACCTTTTATATGGGATAACTATTTTAGTATAAAAGTTATCCCTAAATTAGTTAATATCCCAAACCTGTTATTATAAAATAATAAAAGAAGAAGAAGAGTATTGCGGGGAAAAGTAGGGAGAGAGAATTCTTATTGATTTTGCGATTAATTACAATGGAATAGAACCCCTCTATTTATACGGGAAAAGTGACTTAGCCACCAAGTAACAAACCCTGAAATCTCTCTAAAATATAGACATTCACCTTAAATAGAATGCTATTTATAACACTCCCCCTTGAATGTCTATTCAACAGATAATGTGCCTCGTTAAAACCTTAACTAAAATAAAACCCAGGTGAAAAAAAATTCTAGTAAAGGAAAAAGAGTACACATATCTAACAATACGTCTTTTAGTTGCCTCGTTAAAAATCTTGCAAGGAAAACCCAGTGGGACAAAATCTTGTAAGGAAAAAAGAGTACAACATGTATTAACTCCCCCTGATGAGAGCATCAATTCATATCCTTGAGCCTTCGCATCCCAATCTTGTGCACTAGCTTCTTGAAGGTTGACGTCGGTAGAGATTTGGTGAACAAATCAACCATATTATCACTTGAATGAATATGTTGCACCTTGAAATCACCATTCTTGTATATATATAATCTCTTCATATAATGTCGTGGAATAACCTTTTCAATATCTCCATAGAGGTAAAAATTCCCGCTATCACATTATCAAGCTTATAGTTATAGCAAGATACATATGTGCAGAAATTACACTTATCATATGGTACTTCTGGACCAAGAAATGTATATGCTTCAAGCGATTTAAATCCTTCAAGGATTGTCATATAAGTTAAATCATATAATAGACTTTAATTAGATGCATATCAAGTTTTCATGTTATGCTAGACAAATAAGATATCGAAAACTGATTGCACATATCATTGACTTTATACTTTCAAGTGTTTAAACTACATGTTTTTCATATGAAACCAATTCTATTTGAATTGTGTCTCTTCCATTTGGCCAATACTTAGCGCTATGTGTCGTCGACGAACAATTTATATCGGTTCCAGTTTTTTTTTCATAAAGACATGACATAGAGATCTCTTCATTCATATTTTCAGGTACCTGAATCTCTCATGAGATTTTATGAAGTGTTATGTCATGTGATCTTCTAGATCACTTGCCTCCTTTATTATGATCATTTTAATCATTTGCTCATCTTCTTGATCAAGAAGTTTTATTTGAAACCGATTTGTCTATGCGCTTTAAGCGTACCATAGACTTTATCCTTCTAGGACTTAATAGGAGTATTTGCAATGAGGATATAGTTAGTTTGTTTGGGTCAGCAAATGCGTCTAGCATGATTTGCATTATAGTGCAGATGAATTAATTTGTTATGAACTTCAAGTACATATGATCACATTCGAGGATCTAGATATACAAATGATAATTCATTCCACGTAACTTTTTCTCAACTGTTTATCCTGTCTCTCACCCGTGTTAGAAAAACTAACTTGCTTCCCCAACTCTGGGAACCCATCTTTGTGCATTATAGTGCTAATAAACATATACGCCACACATTAATAATAATTCAATTGAATTATTTGGTTCCTGACCCTAAACCACTTGTGAGGGGAGAATGCAATATACTTTGGTATATAACGTATATCAAACTGATATACATAACTTTGTTCTCATAAGCAATAGTTTAGCTATTAAGTGGAGGCACTCAATAAACCAGCTAAACCAACTGTGATGTAAACCAACTTATCAAGATGAACTGTCTTGAATAGAAAATCTGGAAATTATGTTCGAGTTTTTATTGAGCAGGTTACCTCGCAAACACCATGTTGCGGGTTAATAATAATCGCACATGTAATCATCTCATATATGCATCTTATGTGGTATACATATCAAGTGAATGAGCCCATATTCACCTTTAAAATTTTCAGCATTCATGAGATACAATCCTAATTTTAGTTGGTCTATTAATTAATGAGAACAAGCAACATAAGAGAATTCGTAAAGAACTTTCTAGTTCTTTAATATTTACTCATGTGAATTCTTTTAATTTTGCACATCATACTTAAATTAATATGGATAAACCAATTATGCCAACTGAATAAATTATCAATATTGATAAAGTTCAAGTTCACACCATGACATGTGCAATTATCTATAAACTCCAAGTTTATTATGATATGAGTTTTTATATCAATAAACATCCACTTTATTGTGGTACTCTTTTATTTATGTAGTACAAATTGGAGAATAAAGCGGGTAACTTTTCACATATATATTACCCCGCTACTAGGTAGTAATAGAAGATATTAAATCTTTCCTTTATTTATAGTCTCAATATAATCAACCGCTTTCGCGTATACTTTGGAAACTAAATAAGTTTCTTTGAGACTTACTACAACACAATACCTTATTGATATTCAATTTTATTTCTCCAAAACAATAATAATTGGCTCTTCCAGAGCTCTCAGTTAATTTGGTACTACCACATATTCATCAACATCCATACGGTGAATATCTCTTTCAAGGAGAAAGTTATATCATTATGGTCATGGTCAAAATCATTATAGGCAAGATATGTTATTTTTATTACTTTTGCCCTGTAATAATCACATTGCCATAATATCTTGGCATAATCACAATAGGTACGTGATCAATGACCATTCATGCCATAATAATGAAATTATTTTCTTATTTCATCTCAAACCTCTTTCTAGAGGTGAGTGTGGCATATTCACTACCACTAGCACATTCATATTCTTCCAAGAATAAATATGTATTCATAAATCACATGTTGTCACATTCACATCATGAATGGACCATAATCATCTATATGTGCTTTACAAAATCTCATGTTAAATTGATGATAAATATTACTTTCACATAGTGAAGGATTATTTTGAGAATCCTTATTGTTCTCATTACCACAATGATGACGATTATAATTTCGTCTATTGCCACGTCCACATCTATTATTACCTTCACGGTAATAATTTTGTCTTGTTTTAGACTTATCACATATTGCTATCACATTCTCTTAAGTGAATGAGAATGAAGCAAATTCAATGGACGGGTTCCACTTCTTGTGCTCATAATCATACATGAATTTGATCATGACAAGACATAGAAATTTTACCACTTCGGGTGGTTATAATTTCTTACAAATTCCATTAGTTGCTTGTATTTAAAATTAAATTATAAAATTTCAAGAAAAATAAGGTAAAATACATACCTTCAATCTAGAATTTATTCCTGAAGGAAGTTCACGGAACCATTGACAATCATTATGCTCAATATTATATACAAGTGAGCACCATGCACGTATCTCAAAGTCTGGTGACCAAAGCAGATGTCTCAACTCAATTGGTTAGAATCTCGTATTGTTTTCTTGATAATAATATCTTCGGTGGATTCAGGTTTTGAATATGTTTAGATGTTTGAATGAAAACTCATGGAATCGGAGGAACATAATAGAATCTCGTGTTCAGATGTCTATTTGCTTATTAGGCCAAATACTTATAAAAGTATATGTTTATAGTGAAATCGTAAAAGTATATGTTTCTCGTGCTGATAACGTGTTATGAACAATAAAAGAAGAAGAAGAGTATTGCGGGGAAAAAGTAAGGAAAGAGAATTCTTATTGTTTTTGGGATCAACTACAATGGAATAGAACCCCTCTATTTATAAGGAAAAAGTGACTTAGCCACCAAATAACAAACCCTAAAATCTCTCTAAAATATAAACATTTACCTTAAATAAAATTCTATTTATAACAAACCAAATATAGAATAAAGATAATCCCAGATTTTATTTCGGGATTATTATCCTGATCCCATTGATCAAACGACCCCTTCGAGTATTTTTGAGGAGAGTTGATGGTGGTCATTTTCTTTTTCTGGGTGATCTTATTAAAGCATAAAAAATATCCAGTGTTGACAGTTTATGGTGGAACCCCCTGACTAGAATGCATAGCTCGTCAGGAATATCTAGTACGTTGAGCAAATTTCAAGGTAGTAATAAATTCCAATAAATAATCTAATCAATTTCTTTGACAATCCTAAGCTTTAAAATTTTCTTCCCAGAGATTTCCAACATCTTTCCCAGTTATTTGAAGCCTGATTAAGCTCTGAGAAATAAAGTAGTAAGAAACAACCTATACTTTATAACATCTTTAGTTGGAAAATTAAGTGCAAGGTGCTTCTATAGAAGGATCACCTCACCAAAAACTGCTGCATTTCACTAGTAAATTCCTCTACCTTTTTTCTTCTTTTTCAGTCCTTTTCTTGTATATTATTTAAGATTTTTCACTTAATCAAACAGGCCAGGAAGCAGAAGATATAGAGCCAATATGTGAAAAAACAGAGACATATCCATGTCCTGACTCAAGTTATAAGTTCAAATTATGGCTCCAAATATCCATCTTTATATTCTTGGTGCTCTCTGGCCAGATAGTTGTAACACTCTTGGGTAAAGTTTATTACAACTACGGTGGTAAGAGCAAATGGATAGCTACCCTTGTACCTTTTGCTGGTTTCCCTGTACTTCTCCCTCTCCTTTGCTTTTATTCCAACACAGACAATTTGTCAATGCTTTTTTTGCGTCGCTTGTTGGTTTAACAGGGCTTTTTGCTAGTGGGTATTGGAGGAATTTGGAGAAAGAAATGGAAGAGTTTGAATTAGGGAAAGCGTCATATATTGTGTACTTGAGTTTAGGAACTATTTATTCTCAAGCACAAACTCTAGGTTCTATTGGATTGATTTTCAAGGTATCTTCCTTATTCAGCAATGTGATTTTAATTCTAGGGGCTCCTCTTACTCAAATATCAGTTGTTGTACTTTTGCATGATAGTATGAGTGGTTTAAAGTTAGTTTCATTGGTTTTAGCCTTTTAGGGTTATGGGGTTTTACATCATATTTGTATCAGCAGTATCTTGATAGTAGTTTGTTGGCAAATGCTGTTGAAATTAGAACCTCTGATCATGATGTTGATGAAGTAGAGTCCCACTTTTGAAGAAATTTTCTATGGATAACTTTGTGTTATCAGCCCAATGATGTTTCGTGAGTTCACAAGTGCTCGAGAGATTTTGCCAAATTCCAATGTGATAAAGGCGGATCCAAGATTTGAAGTTTATAATTATCAATCACATGAATAGAAGTTATCATCATTAATTCTAATCACTTAAATACCCTATGATAAAACTCAAATTTTAATTTAGCAGTTGTATCCTAATACTTCTTATTTAAGGAAAACTTACAGAAATATCCCAAATAAGTCTCAACTTACCCCAACCTCTAGCCATTAGTCATAAACTTACCAAAACTACGCAAGTACATATAAAAATTGAAAAACCAAATAATTAATGTTGTTTCTCTCAAAGAATCACACGCAAAAAACTCCTTCAATATTTTTAAGCATGATTAGCAACATATTAGATACAAGACGCAAAGGAAATTTCATGTATGAGGTAGCAAATAAGGTGATGAAATACAAAAAATATATATACAATATTCCAAAAATCTAAGCAAAAAAGGACCTTTGTTGCGACCAAAAACACCCACGCAAGTGCACGTGATCGTCAAGTAATAGAGTAGTGAGTAGAGTATCGTTCCCTCGAAGACTTGTGATCAACTATTGACTGATTCAAACCTAATTACTTTACTTATTCAAGAGATGCGTCACAGAATAAAGATGTACTTATTTTACTACCTAAATTATCAAGAAATAATCTAATTAAAGCAATTAACCAAATGAATAGCAGTTTCGAATAACACACAGTAGGAGAGGATATTCCAGGGTCACGGGCTAGTTAACAATCTTGTTGTGTCCTTAGCTTAAGATGACTAATCGATTTATCTGGGTTATTGATTGACGAGGTTTATATTACTCGTAAGAATCTGTCGATTTCTTACTCGCCTGCTCAAATTAACTCAATGCCTATATTTCTATGGAATTAAGATTAACAAGAACGCATTTACAATTCCTGTATTTTAACCAAGCAAGGCAAGTGGGTATATGTCTATCCCAATTGCGAATCCGTTCCCCGAGGCCCGGGTTCAAGAACCTGCTCTATTTAATTCTATATGCAACCTAGAATTCCCACTTTTGAGTTCAACTCTAGATTCGTAGATAGTGTTTCACTGTTACCTACTCAGCAAAGCAATTAATAACAGAATTAAATAAACAACCCAAGATGATAAACCAACTTTGTCAAATTAAACCTCAAACAACAACATTCATGTTTTACCCATGACCCTAGAACAATGGGTTTTAGCCACTCATACTATTGTTCATCACAATTAGATTCAATTTCATCATAATTAGCAAAAACGAAGAGAAGAAAAGAAAAACTTGATGATCCAATTTCCTCCTTGCCTCTTGTCTCTCTATGTCTTGCTTTAGCCTATGAAAACCTTGATAAAACTCCCTTGGACGAGCTTGACCTTATATAGGTTAAGTGAATTTTTCTCCAGATTTTCACTTTTGCCCCCAATGAACCATCGCCGGATTTTGGACTAGCGCGGCCGCGCATTTGGGCGCGCATCTGGCCGCGCTAGTTTGCTGAGTTTCTGTCTTGGACGCGCTAGTTTTAGCGCGGGCGCGCATATGGGCGCGCTAGCCCAGTTGTGCAGTGGCCTTGATTTTTGCCTTGTCTTCAACCATACTCAGCTCCGAGGGGTCTTTGTTGCTCCAAAATGGTTCCAAATCACATTTTCTTGCATAATATCGGCGGAGGCAATTTTCAATTGCTTCCACCTTTGCCTTGTCCACCTGCAAACCATCTTTGGACACCTTGTGTCCCAAGACTATACCTTCACGTACCATGAAATGGCACTTTTCCCAGTTTAGCACCAAGTTAGTCTCTTCACACCGAGCAAGTACTTTATCGAGGTTCATTAAGTAGTTATCAAAAGAACATCCAAAAACAGAAAAATCATCCATGAATACTTCTACAAACCTCTCGACCATATCAGTAAAAATGGCCATCATACACCTTTGAAAAGTCGCAGGTGCATTACAAAGACCAAAGGGCATTCTCTTGAACGCATACGTGCCATAAGGACACGTAAAAGTGGTCTTCTCTTGGTCCTCTGGGGCTATAGAAATCTGATTATACCCAGAGTAACCATCCAAGAAGCAGTAGTACTCCTGGCCAGCTAATCTATCAAGCATTTGGTCGATAAAGGGGAGGGGAAAGTGGTTCTTCCGGGTGGCATTGTTCAATTTTCTATAGTCAATGCAAATTCTCCACCCGGTAACAGTTCTTGTAGGGATTAAATCATTATTCTCATTAACTACCACAGTCATCCCCCCTTTCTTGGGTACACATTGGACGGGGCTTACCCATTTGCTGTTTGAGATAGGAAATACAATACCTGTGTCAAGCCATTTAATCACTTCTTTTCTTACCACCTCTTTCATGATTGGGTTAAGTCGTCGTTGTTGCTCGACACTGGGCTTGTGTCCGTCCTCCATGAGGATTTTGTACATGCAGAAGGCTGGACTAATACCCTTTATGTCGGACATCGTCCACCCAATTGCTCGCTTGTGCTCACGTAGCACTCTCAACAGCTTTTCTTCCTGCAATTTAGACAAGTCAGAGGAAACTATAACAGGTAAAGTGTTAGAGTCTCCCAAATAAGCATATTGCAGGTGTGATGGGAAAGGTTTAAGCTCCAATTTCGGGGCTTCCTCAATTGACGGCTTTGGAGGAGGTCCCTGTGGCCTGTTCAAAGGTTCAAAGGGGTGTGTCCCCTGCATGTATGCACAAGATGTATCAAGAATGTGCATCATCTCCTCGACCTCCTCATCATTCCCCAGGCTATCAAACAACATAAGTGCTTTCTCTAGAGAATCGTCTAGATATACACTTGGATCACGAATTTGCTCATCAACCTCAATAACTGATATCATGGACAGCTCCTCATAGTGACGGGGGAGTTGGATTGCTTTGTTGACATTGAAAACTGCTTCCTCCTCATCTACCCTCAAGATCATCTTTCCCTCTCTCACTTTGATAATTGCATCACCAGTATCCAAGAGAGGTCGCCCTAATATGATTGGGACCAGTTCATCAGCCTCATAATCGAGGATAATGAAATTAGCAGGGAAGATGATTTTCCCAATTTGCAGCAACACATCTTCAATCACCCTCTCAGGGTGTGTTATCGACCTGTCAGCCAACTGCAACATCACAGTAGTTGGCCTCGGAGCTCCAAGACCCAATTGCCTGAACAACGATAGGGGCATCAGATTTATACTTGCCCCCAAATCACAAAGAGCACGACCCACATCAATATTACCAATGCGCACAGGAATCGTGAAGCTGCCAGGATCCTTAAGCTTTTGAGGGAGCTTATTTTGGACCCTAGAAGAGCACTCCTCAGTAAGTGCAACTGTCTCAAATTCAGTTAATCTTCTCTTGTGAGCCACTATATCTTTTATGTACTTAGCATACTTTGGAATTTCACGGAGTACATCAACAAGTGGGATATTCAATTGAACCTGGCTCAACATGGAGAGAAATTTGCTGAACATGCGATCATCATTCTTTTTCTGCAATCTCTGGGGAAAAGGTGGTGGTGGACTTTGGGCCCCCACTGGCTCTGGAATTTCAGCAGTCTTCTTTGGCTCATTTGTCACTTTAGGGATCAACTCCCCCTCAGGCACGGGCTTATCTTTCCTTTTCTTTGGCACTTCCTCAAGTTCCCTCCCGTTTCTAAGTGTAACTGCATTCACTTGCGGATTCTTTTCTGTATCACTGGGGAGGGCTCCTGTAGGTCTAGTGTTTTGATTCGTTGCTAACTGCCCCATCTGCCTCTCAAGATTTCTGAAGTCGGTCCTGAGCTGCTGATTGTCAATCAACAACTTCTTTAGTAAATCATTTGTGCTCTCTTCCATTTGTTGGGTGGTCTCTGAGGCTGATTAAAACCCCCTTGGGGCCTATACTGATTCTGATTCTGCTGATTTCCACCCCATGAGAAGTTGGGATGATTCCTCCAATTTGGATTGTAGGAATTCCCGTATTGTGCATGCTGGTTCGGTGGGCCTCTATTTTGCTGCCCCACATAATAGATGGATTCTGGATTCATGGGGCACATATCACTCATATGGCTGTCACCACACAGTTCGCAGCAAATAGTCATCTGTTGTACCTGTTGCATTGGCTGTGGCTGCTGCATTGTCATCCTCGTCATCTGATTGGACAGCCTTGCAATTTCGGCTCTCATTGCTGACACCTCGTCGAGCTCAAGTAACCCAGCTGATTTTTGCTTAGCTGCCTTTCGTGAGTCACCATCACCTTGCCAGTTATTATCATTAGCAGTGAAGGTATTCAGCAGGAGTTGGATTTCACTATACGGTTTGGCCATGCAACTACCTCCACAAGCTGAATCGAGATTCATCTTTGAAGCATCATCTAGCCCATCTACAAAAGTGTGACCCAATACCTCGTCTGTCTGGCAATGATGAGGACAGNTATGACCTTGGAATATAATCAAGCGGAAGCATAAATAATAGCTAAATCATCTAGATTTCGCCTATTATCAACACCCCACACTTAATTCATTGCTAGTCCTCGAGCAATCAAACTATACTCTCTGGAGATTCCTTCACTCAACCATTTCCCATAACGCATTACACCTAGAACAATGTACATACATTACGCCTAGCAGTGGACAATCCTAGCCTCAAAGCCGACTCTCAAGTGCCTTGCAATATTCACACTTCCTCGAAGTACTCTACACAGAAGTCAAGATTTGCTTTTCCGTCACGAATCATATGCCCTCACAATCACAGCAAAATTATATAGATCAATTCACACAATCGAATTTCATGATTATATCAAAGAAAAATCACTCACACTCACAAAAGAAGTCACATGCATGCAAGTGGTACCATAAGCTTGCCCTTAATGTAAATCTCTACTAATGTAGGCTCACTCGGTCTAAAATCAATTAGGACTTTTTCATGGTTGTAATGTGGGCTAAGGGATGGGTAGGATATATTTAGGA